TTCCATATAATTCTAAAATAAAATTGTATATAAAAAAATAACAATAGCAATAGTCAATTTTAAAAATTATTATAAATATAAACATTATATTTATTGAATGTTCATGTTCTCCATATCAATTTATATTGATTTTTCTTCTATGGATTTTAGATTTCGATACATATAAAGATTTTACTACTTGATTGATTTATCACATATTAAATTTGCAAATTTAATTTTATTTTAATTAATAATTATAATCAAAAAAATTATATATTTTATATTAAAATTTAAAATGTCATAAAAAGATAGTATAAATAGTAATTAAAACATAGTGATTTCTTTTCAATATCCAAAATTAATTTTTTTTTATTATTATTTTTTCTTGTTATGATATTATTAATATTAATCAAATTTTATATATTATTTTAATCTTAATATTAACCCTTAGAGTTCTAATTTAAAAATTATCATACATAATATATGCCAACTTGATATTATTAAATTTAAAAAATCATGCAATTTTCTTGATTTTATTGAAATATTAATTTTATCAATATTAGTAAAAAAAATTAAACATGCTTGATTAAAACAAAAGGAATAGCTTATGCTATTTGATTTGTTAATAATTATGTTTATTATAATATAAATTTCCTTTTTTCTTTCTTTGCAAATAAAGAAAATGAAGAACTCAAAGGATTAATAAGCAAACAACAATATTTATATAAATATGTATTTTATAAAACATACCTGAAGAAGCATATTCCCCAGGATGAACCCAACTACCTAAAATGTTAAGAATAAAATGTTAGTTATAAAACTTTAAAATTATAAAATTATATCATAATAATTAAAATATTAAATAATTACCAGTAATATCTGCTCCTTCGTCCATTTCACCTAATGCATCAGCATCTTGAAAACTGAGTTCCTGATATAATGTGTTACCACTTCGTTGTTCTCTTTCTGTTCTACTTCTTCCACTTGGAGTAGTAGCTATTTTTTCTATAGTTGGTGATGTTGGTGTAACCAAAGGTGGAGGTATTTCAGTTTCTGGGCTTTCATCTATAAAATAATTGAAAAATAAAAATATAAATATCAGATTTAAAAGATTTCTAGAAAAAAAAACATACGTCTAGAAATTGCAGTTGTTTTATTTGCTTGTGCTGGTTTATCTGTTAATTGACTTTTATCAGATGTCTCAATAGCAGCTTCACTGCTACTATCTAACATTTCAGTCCTTAAATTAGCAACAGCATTTGATGGATTTTCTTGTTGAATATCTTCTGCATTTATACTAGCTTCCAAACTCTGAAAGCCATAACTTAATGGTCCTGAACTTCGTGACATGTGAGTTAAACCAAGAGATGGTAAACGAGATGGACCACGACCAGTAGTCGAATTTTCTAATCTTTCTGTACTTCCAACTAACATTTTTGTTCTTTCCATATAATCTACATGCGTTTTAAATAATTCCGTATATCTCTCATGCAAGCGAGTATATTCACGCTTCAATTCGGCTTCTTTTTCTTCAAGACGAACAACTAAACAAATAAAAAAAATATTGAATATTTATTGTAATAACCAAATAATTATAAGATATAATATATATTAACAGATTATTATACAGAAAATATTCTGGATTTTAATTCTCGAAATAAATTTAGATATAAATTTCCATTTTAAATGTATATATACTATTAATTTTCTAAATATTAAAAATGCAAAAAATTTTTTATTATAGGAGTATTATTTAATTTCATGAAAGAAATTTAAAATATTTGAATTTTGTATTAATTACTTATAATGTTTTAATATTAATAATTTTTCTTATAAATGAAAAATATGCACATTTATCAATTTATTATTTGAAAATGTAAATATTAATAATTATTTAAAAAGCGAAAATTATCTTCGAATTCAATAATTTTGAATATGAATATTTTAAATAACTTTTTATATATGTAACTATCGCTTGTTTATTTCTCGAGATA